CTATTGTTCTTCACAGATCCACCACCGATCATGTGAATCTGATTACTATCATTATAATCGCTTCTGACATCGCCATTAAACACACGCGAGCTTTCATCTATTTTCATACCAAAATAGCTATGTGCAGACCGCCTGGAAGAAGAGCCTGCATTGTGGTAGAAAGAATCGTCAGATATTTTCAAGTGAAGCAAGGCAGGAGAAGTGAGTTGGATAACACCGCAATACCTCGCTGACTTCTTTCTTCCTTGCCACTATGAGCGAGTCCTGGGGGATGTTTCTATGTCCAAACTAGAGTGATTAGACAGAGAATGAAGACATGATTTTTGCTCGATCGCAACTAACCTTGTCTTGCAAAGACAGAGCCATGTCCTTCGTATTTTGCTGAGAATCGGCTGTAGAGAGTCCTTCTTGCTTATTTTTATCCATTTGCAATATGGGTCAAAGAGCTGAAGATAAGTGTTGAGAAAAAATGATTATCGAGTTGACTTATTGCAGAGAGTAGGTGGCGTGATATTTATATCCTAGGGATTTCAGCCTGAATGAATCAGCCCTAGATAAACGACGCAGAATGGCTTGGCCGTTTTGCAAAGAGTCTCTCAAAGGTGTCACCGCTGATCATTACCTTATTGGGTATGTATTGACACATCTAGTTCCTTTGATCTAGAATTTACTGCCCCCGTGAGCTTAATTTGCTCCTAGAGATCTGCTACAGCTTCCTGAGGCTGGCCGAAGCGAGTCCAGGAATGTATCAGTAGGTCTGAGGAGCAAAAATGTACCTAATTTTACAAGTAAAATTTCCAGGGGCAGCTAGAGATTTCCTAGGATTGGTCGGGACTCCCATGGAGTTGGCTCCGCATAGTGATGGCTTAGAATTTTGAGGTGCCGCCAGCAATTGGTGGGGCATAGTGGGATTAGATGGAAAGAAAACGACTGTATCAAATAAACTCAGTGCCCTCAAAAATGAGCATACCCATCCTCAACACTGAAAAAACCGCCCCCGGTGTCGTAAATCAGGACTCCCGCTCAATCTGTTCATGGAGGTATGCTACGTGTTTCCGGGGTGAGCTGAAATAACTCCAGGGGCGTCTCAGTAGACCCCTGGAGCCTTTTGCTCCTAGTACAAGGAACATGGCAGCAATGCAATGAAATGTGTCAAATGTGAAAGAACCGCGTAGTCTACGATCGAAAGTGTGGGGAATAGTACGAACAGCAATTTAACCCAGGGCAGCATAGAGCCATAGAGAGCTGCCCTCATTAATCACTCACTCGATGGAGACACCAAAGCGTATGAGAGCAATCCTCTTTCAACAACGAGCGGAAACACATCAAATTCAACGGCTTCCGAGGCAAAAACAGTTTTCAAAAAATAAGTTGCTACATAGGATCCTGGACTTGGATGAGTTTTGAGATCCTCGGAACCAAAAGCGATTAGCGTTTCTCACTAAATTAACAGGGTCTACGGTAGCGGATCAAGTATTTTTTACTATAGTCATTCATGGTGGGACCCTAATTCACTGAGAAACTCCGAGTCACTCTGTGTAGGAATGAAAATCTCTTGATTTGCCTAAACTTGCCTAAACTTAGAAGAAATTACATCAATTTGACGGTTTCTGATCCTATGTGAAGCTGAAGCTAGAACAGAGTAAGGCATGAAAATTTAGAATAGAAAAGAAAAACAATAATCAGGGACTTCGACAATTCGTATATCCTCTCTTTACGCAAGCCGGCGGACTGGTGTAAGAGATATTGTTATTTTTTAGGGGCAGAGCGAACGATTTCTTCAAATGGTTGAATTGCCCGCAGAGCAACAACCGAGACCCTCCACATAAGACCCGCGTTTCCTTCACTCTGTCCATCAATTAACTCCCACTGGAGACAAACATTAGATTCACCTCCAGGAGCTGATACCCTCATCAAGTTGAGGGCTCCAGTAACTCTGGAGTAATCTAACCAAAGATTTTGTTCGGGGCCAGGTAACCCGTAGACGGTGTTATAGTCTGAAGAGTACCGTATCTCTCCAGAAAACAACCCGAGGGTATCTCCCTCTTGGACTGATACAGTACCGACCGCCATCGCCTTCCATATTGGAAACATAGAGGGGCTGTTTCAAACCCTTATCACATGACTGAAGTTTACTCCAAATGGTAACTCCGAGAGCGGACTTTCCGTACTAGGCTTAGATTTTTGACGTAATTAGGGTTTGAAAGAGCAGCTCTCTGTGTCCGACATGGAAGGCGATGGCGGTCGGCACTGTATAATAGGGCAAACCGTGAGAAAAATATCATTCCTGGGCTGAAGTATGACAAATATAGACTTGTTTCGCATTGCTTCTGCATTTGCCCTCAAGTCAAAGAACCCACCAAGCGCTTCAGCCAATAGCTCGTACGATCCACTCAATTGAAAGACAGTCTCCTCTACGCTCGAGAACCACGGGTTGACAGCGCAATTCCATGAATCCCGAGGAACACTAAGTCTGTCTGTTAAGAGCGGCTGGCTCAACCATAGCCTTCCTGTCAAATCACCCATGCTTTCCTTGGCCACTCGCTCTTCCAGTTTGATATACATGTAAATGCCATACCTTTCTTCCCAGAGTTGGACAGTTTCGATCAAAGAAGGATTTTATCGACACCGGCGTTTCGCATGTCGAACAGTCTTTTCCAGAAAAGACGGCACTGCCGTTGATTGGCGAGACTAAGTCAATAGCCCGCTTCCCTCATAGATCTTTCGGTGGCGACTTTCTCGGCCATTGTGAATTCATTGTCGAATGGCAAGTATTCACATTAGACGGCCAGCCAGAGTAAGTTCCTTGGGTTCATAATAAGTCACAGCTAACATTTTATCAGAGGTTCCTTGCACAGAGCGTCTGTGACAATCAACAACGGCACTTTTTCGTCAGGCGATGAACATCATTATATCCTCCAGGATCCTATGGTTGTTGGGAAACTCGAAAGAAACGCTGTTATTGGAGGCTTGTATCTAGTAGGGGCAATAAAGTAAGTGCCAAGGTTTGTTATCCATCTCACAGCTGACATTGGATCAACTTAGCGACGCCTGTGAAGCATTTCGACTTTCATACTACGTGTATGTGCAATTAAGCCCCCTCTCCTCCCTTCCCCCGCCCCTGCAGTCATCCTATAGCATCGTTTTTGGTAATTCTACTAACTCATGAAAGCGGAGTCTCAATTAGGCAAGGATGTGCCTTGGGTAAAAAGAATAGTCTGTTAGCTAAAGGGGTCACAGACTGGGATAGTATCACCGAGGAGATAAAAGAAATCATGAGGTTCACCTAGGTGGTATACGTGTGATTGCCTATTCTGTCGACGTATTCGAGCTTCAGATTTTGGGGAATACTGTCTAATCCGTGAAGTATATCAACATTACTTCAAAATACGATCGAAGTTGATTTTCTTCGAAATTTGTGATTTCGTTTTTCCCTTGCAACATGATAATGCCGCTCAGAATCTCCTGGTTTCTTTTGTTCTCGAACTCCGCCGCGTTAGGAATAACTAGACGTGGAACACGATCTTTTTTTAAATGCTTGTTGCAAGTAGCCTGAAGTAATGCTAGCCACAGCGAGCCATGCTCGAATTTGTCCAAACAAACGCCATGCATGCGCAAGCATAATAGAGTGGTCATTTGATTTGCGGTCTCTATAGAAACAAGCTCAGATAGAAAGCGGCAAGTGACTGAATTGTCTGTCTATGCGACGTGAACAATCCCTTCTCAAGGACGCATGTGTGTACTGTATTGGGTCGTCTCTGTCAAAGACGCCAAAATTTCCACAGATGTGCAATATAACGGCCCAAGAATTGGATTTCATTTTTCAGTGGTACTTTTCGAAAGAAACGTTTCGAAGGAAAAATTAAGTTCAACAATTGAAAACGGGATTTACTTGGCATTGCATCTTCTCCTTGAACTCTGGGAAGAGTGTTCGCTAGATTTCCATCTATAGCTCATGGTCATGACTACTGCGAATTTATCACGTACGAGACCAAACCCAATGGTGAACAGGGAGATACTTCTCTTGTGCCTTCAACGGTTGATCGCTGTTGTTGAACGATATCACCCAAGCCAGCAAGACTTGCTCGCTGACCGGTAAGTTGAGTTGGCATTCGTACGGTAGGGCAATCTCGACCCATGGCCCCGTGGCGTTTTAAACACCAACCAGTGGAAAAGGCTTAAAGTCTCCACGCAGATATGTATGGTACATACTAGTAGCTCTACAGGCAATGCGCAAACACGCAGGTTTGAGAGAAGGAATAGGAAGCCTGTGACAAGCGGCAATGTAGCAATAGATCAATGCGGATATGTGGTCGGGTTACGGATTTGAGAAAGCCCGAAAGACACTCTTCTACTACTGCCAAGTTCTCTCCCCGATTCGACATCGACTTTCTTGCAAGTGGAGTACCAAAGAACAAAGAGAACACGTCATGCAAAAAGAGTCTAGGAGACTGACTCAATTGGTGGCAGCGCATTCTGAAAGCTCAAATACGACCTTGACAATCTAGTTCGGCTTTTTAGTGGCCACTGACTGAACTCGAATGGAGCTGATTTGCCGTTCACCACTGGAACAGATTCATAATGGGCTAATGTTTTTTATCCCCAAGGCAAGCTTTGATATTCTGTCTTTGTAGTTAATAATCGATGGGGGATCGATACTGCTCTTGAGGTCTATATTTACCGCTGGGGAACTCCTCGGCTAAACACTGTTCATCTAGATCAGAGGCGAAGTATTGTTGAATTGAAGAGATATTGTCTTGCAAGTATATTTTAATAAAGAAAGATTGAGGATGTGACTTGATATAGACCTATTAATTTATCTAGTACTAGACAAGATGGAACAATAAGCCAAAATAGAATCGAATAGATGGTAATATAAAACTTTGTCGACATCCTATCCCCACAAACACTGACTCGGAACAGATTCCACTCTATGACATAAAGTAGTCTTATACCACAAGAACACTGTAGACGGCGTATTTTCAGGGTCTCTTTCAAGGTTACTTCGGTGTGCCTTGTCCGCAGAGTCCTAGATAGCATTTAATTAGCACGTGGGCAATCTGTAGATAATCCCTAGCCAGGTTCTCTTACCAGTATAGTTCATCACGCCATCCGTAAGAAAAACTCTTGCGGTCATTGGGAAAGGCTTATATCTTTCCTGAATGGATAGAAATTGCTGATCCCAAAACTCCTCCTTAAGTTCGGATTTTTGAAGATGCATAAAAAGCTTCACATTGAGTAAAGCATCAACCGCATTGTGAAATTGCTTAGCAATTTCCATACACGCTCGAAGCTCAGTATCTGTGCGCCCCATATACTCAGTTGCATAATTGGCATCCGCCAACTTGTTTTGATTGATATCGTCCAACAGGATTTTGAAGATTTGTTGAGCTTTTCTCGCTGGGCTCAGGTCATTTGACAGTGAAACAGCAGCATGGGTCTGGCTTTCTGGGGAGCTCATTTTTGCAGATGTATAAGATGATGAGGCTAGAAACTAAGTCTGAAGCGATTATTTATAGGTTTCTATCGTAAGAGGTCTATAGTATTAGATAAGATTGAAAATGTACCTAATGCTGTAATGTAGGATCTCTGGGGCTTCGGGGTCTAGATCATAAAAAAGCTTACATATATAGGTAGTACGACCAATAAAGATTGACTTGCGAGGTAAATGTCACAGAAGTCTCCGTTAAAGCGTACGCTAATACCAAGAATAGCTATCCGCAGAGACAATAGTACCAGCGCGCCTGCGGCTCATTGGACTAGCGGATACAGCAGTGACCGAAAGGGGCTTAGATTCATGTCCCTTGAGTCACTTTCAATCCAGACCCAGCCGAATGGCGCAATGCGCGTTGATGGCTGGTTAACTGACAGGCAAGCTGTACGTTTGCCACAATACTTTGGAGCGTGTATTTGGCTGGTATGATCAGGTGTTGGGAAGAGAAAGTAAACCTTAAAGTAGTGATTTAGTCGAATTGGGGCTTAAACAAGGATGGGACATGTTTGCCCGGGCAAACATGTCCCATCCCTGCCCGTGCATTAGCGTAAAGGCTGAGCGCACGGCTTGTATCCAAAGGGTAAAGCGCCGTTTCCGCAGGATAGAGAGGAGATACCCCCGCCCACTTCTCACAATTTCTGCTTCTCACATATCGAGTCAAAATAGTCTCCAGTATAAGTCAGGAGATTTTTAATATTATTACTTAGCTGAGATCATATCACTCTACAAGGCACTACACAGTCAACTAAAGCATCCATCGAAACCAAACAGGAATAATACAACATTCTATAAGCATCGAGACTGGTTCTTATGGTTTACATCAAATAATAAGAAAAAACCCAAAGATAAACAAGTCAACGCACTTACACACATCACCTACTATTAGGAGCTTTCACAGAAAGATATTAAAGCTATGTTAGCATACTCAATAATCTGATCCACCAACCCAGAATTATTTTAGTTCAGCGATACACCCCATACAGATACAATTTTTCATTACTACAAAGATTTACGGAGAATAGATAAGATAGATCCCTTTCGGCGGAAGATCATCCTATTAATACTTACAGAACATGTAACAGAGAGACAAAAGACCCTTCGCCTCTCAGATCGCAGAGCAAGATCCAGACCAAGAGGAATGAGGAAATCCACCGGTATAAGCCGACAACAGGCCATTCTTCCATCCACAATGAATAGCTTGGCTAGCGATTTATAGCCCGGTAATTACGTTCGAAAGTTAACGAGCTCTAATAGTGTAAATTAAATCCAAGAAATACGATTAACATCTGTCGGTATCCATTTTGACTTGGATCCACTGGCATCGGCGAGGGGGTATGCGCTATGCGCTTTCTTGTGAAAGTTTTCAAGCTGACTTGAGAAGAGCATTCTGAGCTTCAATCTCTCAATACAATATGCTTTCTTCCTCAAGTAAATTAGGTCTTCACAGTCTGGATGTAATAACATAGCCTATCTTTGTACTCTTAGTAGAATTTCCAGTAACATAATACTCCTATTGATATCTAAATGCCCGAAATTAGCTCTTAAAACAATCTGTTAAATCTCATCCAAATTCCCCTCCAGGAGTACTTTAGAGGCGCAATGCATAAGAGTAAAAGAAGCCAAAGGATCAGTCCTCCCATTAAACAAGACTCTAGAGCGACGGTGTCTAATAAAGACATAGCTAGATACCGATTGGGTACTTGGGTATCCTATTCAGACTGCCAAGGGAGTAAGTTCGCGTTCTGTCACGCTCAATATGGCCCAACTCTGTGTCTGGTTGAGTGACCGGGGCCGACCAGGACCTTTGAAAGGTTGTTTCAAGGGATCTGCTCAATTAGCTTTGAGAAATGGACAGAAGAATAGGAGCCTCACACTTTGTACCAGTAACTCTTCAATAATGACCAGCAACTCCCGAAGGTCCCTTTATGGGATCTGCTCAGTCAGCTTAGAGAAGTGGATAGAAAGATGGGCGTCTTACGATTCATGCCAGTAGCTCTTAAATATTTTTAAGCAGCCCATCATGGTGGAGCGGAAAGAGAAAGCCAGTGTCCCTTATAACAGAGATATTATAAATGCAATTGCCTGGTCCGAATTTCTCTGGGGTTTTCTGGTTCATATATCTCCAAATTTGAGAATGTCGTGATGAGATCAAACATGTTATAGCTCTTTGCAAGCAATAAAGACACCGTCTGTGTAAGAACAAGGTCATTCGGAATGACCTCGTTGTGTGCAGGCGAACGTCTCTTCGAGCTACAATTTCTCTGACCAGATAAACCTCAATGCTGATACTTTCAAGATCTCTGGTCCAAGATCAAATTAAATTTTCAAAATCGAAAAGTTATAACGAAGTTCGCCAACAAGACTCATCATCAAATAACCCTATCAGTTTGCAATTGGCGAGGTATATTGTGATCGTCAATTGTAGCCATCATTGGGTCGAAACAAAAATGCATCTAACAAGATGCCACTTAGTAAGACGCAGCTGCACGAAATCCCGGCAAGATGACTAGATCATCTAGATAAATTAGAGCTGAGATATAATTCGGGATGAGGAGTATCACCTTGTCTTCTATTTTCATAATCCTCTTCCTTCTCCCGAATCTCTAAAATGAACCTCACGTTCTCCAACTGGTCTCTGTTTGCAATGACTCGCAAGTGGGAATAGGAGGGGTGAAAACGGCTTGAAGGCAGAATTTGAATTAATTTGGCAAGCCCTTCGGCTTTTTTGGCTTTAGGCAGACATTGACGCCACAGCTCTTGAAGCTCATTATATGAAAAATCGTTCAGTAGATTGGTGAGAGGATCGATTTTGGGAAAGTCGACAGGGCTTTTCTTCACCTTCCATTTCTGGAAGATGTGAGTGATAAAAACTTTCCTTTCATCTGGCGACAGTAATACGATCGCCCTTAGAATATCACTAATAGGGTCCTTTCGCGGACGGGCAACATCGCTGTAAATCTTGTTGATAACGAACGAATCGAGCTGAGAGAGGATATCAAGGTAACAAGCTCGCAGGGCCTGGGTATAGCTCAGTCGGACTTCTTGTACCATACCGATATTGCTTTTGGTGCGAGACTAAATAAATATATCGATACAAGTTTGAGAAAGCTAAAAGCTGACGAGCGAATAAAAACTTCTGTAGAGTATTTGCTTGGAGGGTTATGCGGCAGCTGGTTGTACTTTATAGCAGGTGATACCGAGCTTGGTGACGAGTCTTATTTAGCCTCTTGTTGATGTTTTAATATGAGAAGGCTCTTGAAAAATTGCGGCAACCATTCAGACAGGTATCCTTAGATCTATTTTGCTTCATTGGAGCTACGACTCTTGATCAGGACTGGGTTTTGAATGCTCACATGGGGCTGACATGATGACCTACAATGACTTGATTGGTGTAATTAATGACATAGAATCTGATGTACAAGTGGCTCGCCAATTCTCGGCCGGGGGAAGTAGAAAACAAAAGTATGATAGCATTGGTGGGTGTTCGCACAGCAGTTTTAGCAACAATTTCAACGCTCCTTGATTCCCCACCGTACAAAAAATATAGTGAATTCGTCATTATCTTGAGCATAATGAGCTCGAAAAATGGTTTTCAGCTGCTCAACAGTCTCCATATCTGGCTGTTGGAGGAATTAAATCAGCTCCATCGAGATATCGAGTGACCAGTGATTGAATATACGGAACACCAGCGCTAGTTTCAGTATTGTTCCTCGCGAAAGATACTGCAACGCTGAGTCCACAATCTCCTCCACTGAAGCTTTGCCCTCATGTAATTTTATGCAGTCCTGACGTAGACGGGACAAATCGGCAGATAGAGGAGGCAGACAAGCAAGATCAGCAAGATCATTGCGTTGGGGCTGCAAGAAGCTCCATTAAGCAATAAGCAGCGGGCTTTTGCCTCATGTTAACGCGGATTTTTTCTGCCATCTGAATTGTGAGTTTTATCCTTACAAAGCTAGTATCAAATCGCATCTGATCAGATTCTGGAGAAATTGGCCGTGCTTCTGAATAACAAAGAACATTTTCAAATACACCCTTTATCTAAAAGGGTCTCGGGTCCATCAAGAGAAATTCCTTCATCTTGTGAGATATGCTCATGCTGCCCTAATCAAAGGCAGTTCCCATCTGGAATAATCACAGACTACAGATGGAGGGAGTTTCCTCGCTATTCAAACATGTGTTGAACTGAGAGTACTGTGCCTTCTGGCTTCGCAATTAAATCAAATAGATGTAATGAGTGTAATATTGAAGCTATTCCGAAATTGTGCTAACTACACTGCCAACTGACAGGTAGCTTACCGCTCTCTCAATATCTATATCTAAAAGCCCGGGTTTGTTCGTTATCATGTTGAAACGCCAATTTAGGAAAGGCGTAGGCATAGGTGGGTGATCCTTTTCTGCTTTGATATTTATGGCGGCTGGAGTGGAAGTCTAGACAGAATGGATTTCTTTCAAGCGGCATGCTTTAACTTTGGGTATATCATAATGCATATAAATAGTGAACTAAGCGAATTTGGGGGGTCGGGATCATTTACCAGGGCTTTGATGTTTTGATGTAAGATCTGAGGTGTCACCAGCAGTAACCAGACCGCCTAATTCCTGGCAGAAGGTCCAGTTACGAGAATTACAAAGCGAGATTCTTGACGGTTGATGGTTATGATATCTGGTCTGGGGCTACCGCTGTTTGGCATATTGATGCAAGGATTGTTCCCTCTTCCATATATCAGTAAAGAGTTATGATATCATTCGCGAACCCTCCAGGCCTGACGTAAGTCTTTTTTATTAAAAAAAAAAAAAAGTGAAGGTGAAGGCATGAAACCAGAAGGTGGGCGCCTGAGCTCTCATGTGATGGACTGTGCAGCTCAGGAGCCGCCCGCAGCTCAGCACATCGCACGGGCCCCTCATCATGGCTCTTTTCCATCAGATGATGGAATGGGAGCTGCAATGAAATGCAGAGGATGCAGACG